GTGTTCTCCAATAGCGTGGGCAGCTCGACGTCGGCGTGTGATTGGCTGTTAGTCGGCATTACGATTCGCTAGGGCTGTGGCCTCGAGGTACGCACCAGGTGCGAGAGGATTTGGCTGTGCCAGTAGCCGGCACGTTTACGATCAAAAACAAACCTGATAAGGCGCATCAAGTGGGCCATAGTGCGCACAATCGAGGTGTGAGTTGTTGCCAGGTGGGTGCAGCTGGCACCTATAAACTAAACAAGCTGTGATTTGTCAATACGCGTGCCACGGAGAACCGATGACGTAGCATCTGCTTAATATGCATAGGTTAATTGGTATTCAAGTGTGTATTGTACATGTAGGTGTGGGATTGTTTATGTCAGCCACCTCGCCCACGTCCACCCGCAGACCAGAGAGGGAGATAGAGAGAAAAAAATGACTCCCCCAAAAACAGTGAGCTTTAACGTAACCCCCAAAAAGATATATGCTGAATGAGTTTCAGTGGGATGGCAGACATGAATTTCAAGGCAACAAAGGGGTACTCGGTATATAACTTGTGAATTGCGGACTTTATATTATCTTGAAACGCAACCAGCAGGTTCTAGTAAGTCGGTACCAGCAAGATAAATGTGTCGGGTGTGCTGGTACAGTTTTGGCACAGCTGATAGAAGCGAAAACGCGAGTGTAATGAAGCAGTTCAGGAGCAGAAGATGCCATCGCTGGAACAAGGAGTTAATTTGCATGAAACTTCGAATTCTGTCAAGAACCCTTAATCATAGGTAACCATAGAATAGGGCGATACATACAAATTGAAAAAAATTACTAGATAAGGAATTGCGATGCAACCTACATCGTTTGAAGGAATGATTCGATTTTAAAAGTGCGAAGTCATCTTCGGAAGCCATTCGTGTTGCAGAAATTTCGGGTAGATAAGGACCCTCTTTACGTCAGTGAAGAATGCTGCGGATTTCTGTCGTATAACGTTGTAGTCACACACGCAAACAGTCAGTATGCCAATATAAGTGAAATGCCAGTCTCAGGAAGCAGTTAAGAAGAAGAAGATGCGACCACCGGAACAAAAACTTTTATTTTCCTGCCGTTTCGGATTTCGTCGGAAATCCTTAGTCATAGGTAATGCTCGGATAGCCTGAATCATGCGCAGATAGGAGTAAAACATGCTCAGATTGCACGGTATTTATAGTTCGTAGCGGTCATCCGCATGCGTACTATAATTATCCGTCACATAGCCAGGCGGCTGATGCTTGTTTTTGGCCTGTGCGCAATTTCGAATCCAAATGGACTAAGAAGGCAGCTGACTGCTTCCGATGCATTCTCCACGTACGGATGAGCTCGCCAAACTCTTGGGCCAGTTAGGTGTGGTTTCTTGTCTTTTCTGCATATGCACTGGTTGATAAAATTGTGAAGGTAACCTTTCGCTCTCAGTACCCGCCGAAGATGTTGTAATTCGGCAACTTTGCCTTCCGCTTCGCTGAAGTGCGTCTCCATGCGTCCTTATAATGCACTTACGCAGCTGCGTTTGTGAACAGTTGGGTGGCTGCTGTTGTAGTTCAGGACTTGCATAGTGTTGGTTGCTTTCCTGAACACTTTAGTTTTTAGGCCATCACCGTCTTTGCGGCAAACGAGGACATCCAGGAAGGCCAGCTGGTTGTTCCCTTCTTCTTCCATCGTAAATTGAATGTCCTGAGAGACGGCGTTTAGGCGTCCCTTGAAGGTCAGCACCTGATCCCGCTCAATTACGACGAAGGTGTCATACACATACCGTGCCGAGAATTTCGTTCTGTGGTGTCGGAAAACCAGCGTCTCCAACCGTTGCAGGACCGCCCTGCTATGAGTCTGGAAATGGGTGAACCCATGGGCGTGCTCTTCACCTGTTCGTAGATAGTTCCGTTGAAGGTAAAAAGCGTCGGCGACGACCAACATTGCCGTTTGGGATTTATTGGCTATCGTCAGCCAACTGACACTATCAAATAACCGGTTTCAATGAATTAAGCCTCGAATGGGGAGTAGTTGATTATTTCGAGTGAAGTCAATTGTCTGTCCTTAAGCCGAAAGCCCACTGTCTGGTCGTTTTCGATCTCGCCTCCCAGTCAGTCGCATAGAGACTGGTGATCTTGAAAGGGGTATTGAGGAACATGAGAAAGACCGCAAAGACAATTTTTGACTTCGGTACATAGACGCGCCCCGGTCGGTTACGGGACTCAATTGTCCGCCTGTACCGTGTGGTCCCAGTCTCGATCCCAGCCAGAAGCCGCTCAGTGCCTAATGATTTGACAGAATGGCATTCCTGACAGTGGCAAGTAATACTGGAATGACAATTTCTGGTTTATCAGCTGTCATCAGCCAGCCATATCCAACTCCAGGGGTAGTGATAGCCGGGGCTCAAACCTGCTCGAGTAGAAGTCCTACTTTCTGAAAAGTGAGTGTTAATACTATCAATTGAAGCCGACAAGATAATGAACCCGTGGCAAGAGAGGTTGTTGCGTTCGAGCCTCGGGAAGTGCACAACCTGGGGTTGGGCATAGTTGGCTGGCGACGGCTAATAAGCCAGAAATTCAAATAAAGTTCATGGAAAACACAGGAAGTATATTCCACTTTGCACATATTTGGCAGAGCACCACTTCTCTTAATTATATACTCAAAGGTGGAGGCAATTTTTCGACACTAAAACATGCTCGTTCTTATGAGGTGTTTCAAGGCCGTGCAAGTTACATAAACAATCCAAATATGTAAGGCTCCCACAGGACAACATCTTAAAAAAACTTTTGGAGGTGAATGTATTTCCTTATATTGTACAACGTAAACTTGTTATTTTGAAGCCCTAAATACAGGCGCAAAAGCCCGTCAATTGTGAAAATTATTTAGAAGCTCCGTTTTTACAACGAGTAGATATCATTTTATCAAGTATACATCTTTTAACAAGACATGATTCTTTACCAAATAACTGACATTAGAGTGTTCATAGTACACTTACGCGTGGATTTATTATGTCAGCCAACTCGCCCACGTCCGGCCACCTCGAAATTTCCCTGCCTGAGGCATGTCTGGTGGGTGCGATTAGAACGAGAGAGAGAGAGAGGAAGAGAGGGAGGGAGGGAGATATAGAGGGAAGAAAATATTCCCCTAAAACAGCCCACGTCACGTCAACCAAAAATACGTTGAGCGAGTTTCAGTGGGATAGCAGATATGAGGTTCAAGCCACTAAACATTTTGTC